GACTAGAGGCGCTCACTCCCTGATTCCTGGATTCTCCTGATGAGAAACAAGTAAACCCAAAGATCGATGCTTGGCTACTTAGCAAAGCACAAGGAGGTCTAGCAGGGAAGCAAAGAGCCTCACGCGTTCTCCTATGCTGCTAAATCAAGTTCCGGCCGGTTACAAGATACGAAAGCCAACCATCTGAAGGCACCTGAGAACGTGAAAAGCAGGTAGAAAGCAGAGGGGTCATCCCCTAAAAGAACGGGTTGCCCTGGGTAAGACACGCGTTCGTACAGACGGCTGGAACTCTGGTGGAAGGCAGCAAGCCTCCTAGCTTCAAGGCCGAGAACAGAGTTTGGGCACGGCTAGAAGTGAGGGGGACACCTCAATGACTCAGAAAGGAGGCAGCCTGGAAGACAGATAGCCCTGAGGTGGGTCTGTAAGCTCGGCCCAGGCCCTCGGCCAGCCCCTGAGCTGCCCCAAGGAGCAGAAGCGAGGAGCTGGTAGGCCAAGTGTGCGAGGCAGAGACGAGAGCGGAGATCTCAGTTTGAGTCAAGACAAATTAACTTCCGGAACAAAACACAAAACTCTCCAGAAACGAGAATCACCACAGTGGACCGTCCACAATGCTCAGCACATGATCAAGGACTACCTGATGTTCACAGAAACGGGAAGATGTGACCCCCAGTCAAGAGAAAAACGAGTCCACAGAAATTGATCCTGAGAAACCCAGGGGTTGAAATGAGCAGATAAGACCTTAAGGCAGCTGATATAAAGTGAAAACTTTAATGCAAAATAGGATCACAATAAACAGATGACATATCTCAGTAGAGAGACAGAAACTATAAATAAAAGTAGGCACCAGGCTGGCTTAGTCAGTACAGCATGCGGCTTGATCTCAGGGTCATGAGTTCAAGCCCCGCACTGGGTATAAAGCTCACTTTAAAGTTAAAAAAAAAAAAAAATTTTTTTAAAGCAAGTGGAAATTCTAGAAATAAAAACTGCAGTAACTGGAATGTGGAAACTCACCAAATGGAATTAAGAACAAACTGGAGGCAGAAGGAGGGGTGAGTTAACTTGAAGACCGATTAATAGAAACTACGCAATATGAAAACTGACAAAAATGATTTTTAAAATGGACAGAGCCTGATGCCCAGTGGGACAACATCAAGCACCAACAATAAATGTAATAGGAACACCACAAGGAGGGAATAAATGAGATAGAAAAAAATACTTGAAGAAACCATGAGCGAATTTTCCCCAAACCTGGTGAAAAATTACAAACGTCTAGATCCAAGAGGCTCAACAAAGCCAGGGCAGGATGAATACGGAGAAAACCGTCCCACGCGTATCGCACTCAAGTGCCGAGAGACAGGGGTGCCGGGGGCTCCGTCAGTTAAGCGTCCAGCTTTTGGTTTTGGCTCGGGTTGCGATCTCATGGTTCATGGGTTCGAGCCCTGTGTCGGGCTCGTTGCTGACAGCACGGGGCCTGCTTGGGATTCTCTCTCCCTCTCAAAATACATAAATAAACTTCGAAACACGAAACAAAACAGAAGCGCCGAAAGACAAAGACGAGAGCTGGAAAGCAGCGTCGCCACCTAACACACGGGACGCCACGGCTGTGACAGCGTTTCATACAAATGCAGCAGCCAGAAGACGCCGGCAACCTGGAATTCTACATCCGGCAAAGAGATCCTTTAACACTGAAGGAAAACAAAGACATTTCAGATAAATGGAAACCAGGAGGATTTGTCACTCAACAGGCAAGAAACGCTGAAGCGTTTCAAGCGGAAGAGAAATGATACCAGATGGAGACACAAATCTGCAGGAAGGAATGAGGCGCACCAGAAGCGGCGGACGTGTCAGTAAATATTTTAAAATAGTGGTGTTTCCCTCTTAATTTCTTTTTTTTCTAATTTTTTTTTTTTTTACATTTATTTATTTTTTGAGAGACAGAGACAGAGCACAAGTCGGGGAGGGACAGAGGGAGAGGGAGACACGGAGTCCAAAGCAGGCTCCAGGCTCCAAGCCGTCAGCACAGAGCCCGACGCGGGGTTCGAACTCACGAACTGTGAGATCGTGACCCGAGCTGAAGTCGGTCGCTTAACCGACTGAGCCCCCCAGGTGCCCCCCCTCTTAATTTTTTTCAAAACAAAAATTATGGGGCACCTGGGTGACTCGGTCAGTTGAGCATCTGACTCTCGATTTCAGCTCAGGCCATGATCTCACGGTTCGTGAGTTCGAGCTGACAGCACAGAGCCTGCTTGGGCTTCTCTCTCTGTCTCTCTCTCTCTCTCTCTCTCTCAAAATAAATAAATTTAAAAAAAAATTTTAAGGGTATTCCAAATAGGGGTGCCTGGGTGGCTCTGTCAGCTAAGCGTCCGACTCTTGCTCTCAGCTCAGGTCTTGAGCTCAGGGTCGTGAGTTCAAGCCTCATGCTGGGCTCTGCTCTGGGCGTGAACCCTACTTAAAAAAAAAAGAATATTCCCGATATTATTTATTCCCCACCCCCAAGTTGCTTTGGAGGAATTTGTGTTTATTATTTATCAGCTAATAAAAAAATTCTTCAATTTGGGGGAGGGATGTTTAAACACTGAAAAATGTAAATGGATAAAACGTTCACATTCAAAAGCCAACGCTATCGAACTGGATACACGATTGGGACTCAACCGTATGTTTTATAAGAAGCTGACTCTGAACACAAGGACACAGACAGGCTGAGCGTAAAAGAATGGAAGAGTTGTGCTGTGCAAACAGTAAACACGAGGAAGCTCGGAGGGCTGACTTAATACGAGACTTCAAGCCCCATTCATCAGCAGAATCATCACCACAAACGTGTGCCAACTTAATAACAGATTCACACACATGAACCAAGCCTGAAGGAGCAAAAAACGGAAACGGACAAATCCAGTCAGTGTTGGGAGATGTTGAAAACCTTTCTCAGCAACTGGTGGAAACCCCCCGAATCCCTCCCACCCAACATCAGTAATGACACAGGACATGTGATCACTACGTGATATTTCTACGCGCCCGGCAGTTTTAGGTGTTTGAGATCAGCCATGAACGCTATTGAGGAAAAAACCCTGGTCTCATGGAAGAGATGGTCTTATGGTCTTAGGAAAAATGGGGGGGGGGGGGGGAGAAGGAAAAAAGAAAACCAGAATAAAAACTTGAAGTATGTTTACTATCTTCCAGAAAAGAAGGCCCTAAATCTCTGAATAAAGAACAAGAGATATTTTTTTAAAAAAAGGAAAGGGAAACCAAAACAGAACTCTTGAAAACGGAAAAGGACAATGGTGATAAAGGGACTAACAGAGGGCTGGGAGACAATGGGACACAATCTCCCAAGAGCTGAGCAAACATCTCCCAGATCAACAAGAGGAGAAAAGAGATCAGGGGATTAGCAGGTCAGCCAGGAGATCCCAATTCCAGATACAAGGAGTTCCAGAAAGAACTCAAGATTGAAAGCAGGAAATTCTCACGGGAGTAACAGAAAAGTCAGTCCCCAGGCCGAAGGGCCCCACCCCGTGCCCAGCACAGCGGCACAGCGTTGAGAACAAGCACCATCATGGGCTAGTTCGGGCACAGGGGGAACAAGGGAAGCCCCCGTGAGCCTCCTGGGGCCGGATCACAGACGGGACAACTGAAATCAGAACGGCACCCGTGATGGAGACGGAAGACCACGAAGCAACATCTTCAAAAACCTGAGAAAATAGGGGCACCTGGGTGGCTCAGTCGGTTGAGCGCCCGACTTTGGCTCAGGTCATGATCTCACGGTTCCTGGGTTGGAGCCCCACATCGGGCTCTGTGCTGACAGCTCGGAGCCTGGAACCTGCTTCGGATTCTGTGTCTCCCTCTCTCTGCCCTTTCCCTGCTCACACTCTGTCTCTCTCTCTCCCTCTCTCTCAAAAATAAACATGAAAAAAAATTTTTTTTTTAAAAACTGAGAAAATATTTTTCAGTATTTTCAATATTCTATACCCAGCTAAACCAAAAGTAACTGAGGAGTAAAGATATTTTCAGAACCAAAGACGAGAGTAATATCTATGCAATGTCCCTTAGCTATCCAGAATACCTCCTTCAGCAAAACGAGGAGTGAGCCCAGGAGGAGAGAGGGGTCCAGAGTGCGGGGACCGACACAGAGGGACAGTGGCACAGGGGACACTGGGCGACGGCCGTGCAGGGGCCTTCCCGGGACCAGAACAGACTGGGGCAGGACGCGGGACCTCAGGAGAAAACGCCCAACAGCAGGCACCGCCACAATGGGGGTGTAAGGCAGGAGAGAGTTCTGGAATAGGCGGGTGGCAGGGCCGGGTGGGAAAGCTGTTGCACTCAGTGTCCTGAGCCGGTCGGTGACAAACCATCCCTAGGGTCAGAGGTTTAACCAAAAGCTAGACTGTGGTGGGAGGTGGAGGGAGAGGAAGGGGTGGAGGGGCCTTGGGAGAGCCGAGGTTCCGCTGCACCTGTGGGAAAACGCAAAGCTCAGACGACACTGCGGGAGGCACGGACAATCTGTCGTCTTGGCCCTTCACCCAGCGTCCCGGAGGGATGATCACGACCAAGGTTTAGGGACAGCAAGATGCAGAAAAAGGTGAGTAGCACGGTGTGTGCGCGCGCGTGTGTCTGGGGGTGCCTCTGTGTCTGTGGGAAGGTGTCCGTGTGTGCCTCTGGGGGATCTGTGTGTGCGTGTGTACCTCTCAGTATCTGTGTGGGTGTCTTGTGTCTGTGTGGAGGGATAGGTCTGTGCGTGTGCGTCTGTGTGCAGGTGCGCCTGTGTGTGCACATCTGCGCGTGTGCGTGCATGTGTGTGTGTCTATCTAGAAATGACTGTGCGAACAGGAACACAGCCGGGGAAGGGTACACCTCGGGGGTCACCATGGTTAGAGGGTTGGGGACAGCCAAGCCACGGGATGGGAGACGGAAGACGGCCAGAAAGGACAAAGCACCTGCTGTCTGTGGGAAAGGCTCTAACACAAGAGCTCTCTGCCCAGTGCACACGGACCAACGGATCAGGTGACCTTTTGAACGAGTGAAGCCGGAAATCACGGGTAAAAATCACATGGGCCTGTGTACAGAGCGCGCGTCTCAGGAGAGACTCCAGTTTTCGTCAGACAGTCAAGGGAGCAGTGACCACCCCCCACCCCCCCAAGCAGTAAGAACAAGTCACCTGAGGCCGATCTTCTGCCCGGGCCACCGGCCCCACCCCAGAAGGTGCGTGAGATGAAAGGCGGTCCTCCCAGACACCAGGTGCGGAGCACGGCGGGGGGCTGGACACTGGTCCCGAGACTCAGGTCCCAGTTCCCGGACTGGGAACGCCACCGACAGGCAGCAGGGACTTGGAGGTGTGACAACGTGGAGGTGGGAGAGGCCCCGGGTCTGCAATCGCAGGGGCCCTTGTGGGAGGAAGGCAGGGAGCCGGGGAGCCGGGGACGCGGGGCCCAAGGACTGAGGACGGCCCCCAGGAGCTCAAAGGGGACGGAATGGGCTCTCCCGGAGCGAGGTGTCACTCAGTTTCGGCCCAGTGACACCCATCTCGGACTTCTGGCTCCCTATGCGGAAGCCCCGAAGTTTGTGGTGATTTGTTACAGCAGCCACAGGAAACTCTTTCAAGCGCTAATTCGAAAAAGAAATGTTTACAGGACTTTCGCCAAGTCAGAGAAAAGGTAAAACGTAACAGGGCACCTGCTGCACCCACCGCCTGCCGCCCCGACACCCTGTTTTCTCCTGCGTCCTCACTGCCTGCCTGGCCCGGTTGGTTCTGACACAGACAGGGCAGTGGGCAGGAGACCACACAATCGCAAAGTGAACCCCTGTCGTCTTTCCTGAGAGGGTGGGAGGGATGGCCCCCAGCACGCCTGTCCCTCCCACGTGCCTCCGGCAGCCTCAACCAGCCTCCCCCCTGCCCCTCCCCCCACACGCCCTCCGGCATCCACGGCCAGCGCCCAGTCCCAGCCCTACAGCCTCATCTGCTCCCCGGCCCTCCCTTCCCAGCAGCCTTCATTCTACAAAGTGGGAGCGAGGCCTGCCCTTGACCCTGGGGCTGCCAGCACCTGCAGCTGCCCTCTCTCTGCCGCGCAGATCTGCTCGGTGCCCCTCTCCTCACCACGACCCACCCCACGACACAGCCGCCACGGCCGCCCCACACGTCCAGCCCAAGTCCACGGCCTTCCCTCTGGCCACCATGGCCTCCCTCGCCCCCCTGGTCCCCATGGCCCCAGAAGTGCCCACGTCCCTCACTGCCCGTCGGCCAGGGCCCTCGCTGTGGGCACCCAAGCACTGGGCCGTCCACCTGAGGAGCGTCCCTCAAGTCCGGGTCCCGCGCCGAGCCCTGCGTGCCTGCGGTCTCTGGTCGTCAAACCCACCGGGTGGGGTGGCATTTTTATGAAGTTCACACGGTGACAATTATGTTTCCACAGTAAAACTTTAACCACACTCTACTCCTCCTCCCCTCCCCCACTGCCCGTTCCAGACGCCAGGACCCCTCCCCGTGCGCTTCGCCCCACGGCCAGGGTGGGGGTGCTGCCCCCTCCGCTGCGCCCCTCCTCTCCGGAGCCAGCCCCCTGCGGGACCACCGGCCTCCCACGGGCCCCTCCCACAGCACACCGTGACCACGGCATCACTGACACGGGGCCGCTCCCAGGGCCCCGGACAGACCCCTCATCACCAAGAGCGGCCTCCTGGCAGGCCACGTTCCCGAGCCATCCTCTAAGGGGACCTGAGGCACGAGTGGGCGGTCCCCTGCCCAAGGCCTCATCCCAGGAAAGTGGCCGGGCAGGTGCCAGGCCAGGAGGCACACTCGGAAGCCCCTGTCTGCACCCAACTCCGGGGCTGCTCTCCATCTACACCCTACAACCCTGGGGCTCTGTCTACACCCCACAACTCTGGGCCGCTATGTCCACACCCCACAACTCTGGACAGCTCTATCTATACAACTCTGGGCCACTCTGTCTACACCCCACAACTCTGGGCCGCTCTGTCCACACCCCACAACTCTGGACTGCTCTGTCTACACCACACAACTCCAAGGCTGCTCCCTATCTACACCCACAACTCCGGGGCTCTGCCTATACCCCACAAGTCTGGGGCTCCTTTCCATCTACACTCCATAACTCCAGGGCTGCTCTCCATCTATACCCCACAACTCCGGGGATTCTGTCTACACTCCACAACTCTGGACCGCTCTGTCTACACCCCACAACTCTGGGCCACTCTCTGCACCCCACAACTCTGGGCTGCTCTGTCTGTACCCCACAACTCTGGGCCACTCTCTCTCTACACCCCACAACTCTGGGCCACTCTCTCTCTACACCCCACAACTCTGGGCCACTCTCTGTCTGTACCCCACAACTCTGGGCCGCTCTGTCTACACCCCACAACTCTGGATCACTCTGTCCACACCCCACAACTCTGGACGACTCTCTGTCCACACCCCACAACTCTGGGCCACTCTGTCTACACCCCACAACTCTGGG